AGTAGTACTGTAGTACGACTCAGCTCGAAAAGCCTTATTACTGCCCAGGTCGTAGCCTGCGTAGCGGCTCTTAGGGACTGGAGCCACATTCTTAGAATAATGCACGCGCCGATATACGTTGGCCGTGTCATAAATTGTGCTGTTTGGTCTTGTACATTATTTTGTTACCGTGATTGGGCAGTATTTGTATGACATTCAATTAAAAAACAACAACAACAACAACAAAAAACAAACAAACAAACAAAAAACAGCACACAATCAATTGTTTTTGTTCTTCCACAGAGAGGAACAAGTTTGGAAATGGAAAATCTTCTTCCCAACACCAAGTACAAATATATGGTAAAGCATCGCTATATTTTGATATTGTTTGATCAAGTTCAATATAAGTTTATTAGTGAAGCATGCCTTCGGTCTTTGGTTCGCACCGTGACACGAAATCCGCTTGTTCTTGCCGATTCTGGCCATTCCAAATCTCTGAATTCTGGATTCTATGATGCATCTTATCTAGGATTTCGGATTCCAACGTTTTATCGGAATCGGATTYCATKGACTCGAATTCCAKWTTCCAAGGGCCTGGAATCCAGATTCCTCAGCTTAACTTTTCCAAGTCTCCATGTGATGGTGTGAATCTGGTTCATTGGTGCAATCACTGTTAGCTAGTAGGATTCGTTGTCTGTCTGTGTCAATATTTAATTGTTTTTTTTTTTATAGGTTAAGGCCATTATTCCTTCTGTTGCGGCAATTGAGGTTTTTGGCTCAGTGGATATGCCAAGTAAGTACTTCATTGTCATGCTTTTTTGTCTTCTTCTGGTCCTAATCTTGTAGTAGCTTGATTGTCTTGGAGGGAGGGAGAAGAGAAAGAAGAGAGAGTCGAGTATCAGGGTGTTGTTGATACATTGTCATCATTGTTGACGCGGTCGTCATTGCTGTTTGTTGGTTCTGTTGTTACAGTTGATTGCCCTGTTGCAACATTGTGTGTTTTGTTGTTCTTTTGCTTATTTTCTCTCTCTTCTTACTCTTCATTTCATTCCTATTTCTTTTTCACTTTGCCATTTTGTTGCTGGTTTTTGTTTTTCTTYGTTTGTCTTAGTTTCTATTGTTTATTGACATGYTGTACGTCCTTGGATCTGTTCTTTGATTGTTGTTSTTTTTTGCTTGAACATCTTGCTCACTTCTTCCCTTTTCCTGAGMTCTAATCTCCTTTCTTCTGTCTTCTACTCTTTCCTAAAACCATGATCAACAACAAATGATTCTAATTATGTGTTATTTTCAACATAGAACTGCCAACTGAGGAACTCAAAGTGGAAAATGTTGTTCCTGGYTCTCTTGGCTTCTCAGACGCACATTCGTTCTCATTCAACGTGACCTGGTCAAAGCCAAAGTTCCGTTACGGCAATTTAGTTGATTACACTGTATTCTCCAAGCCTGGAAACTTTACCACGGTATGAAGAATTAATTGCAATAATACTTCTAACTTACGAGACGCATAGGATCCCATGAAATGGTTTTAAAGATGACATCAAGAGGATTCTTTCAGTGTAGCACTGGTCTTATCTTCCGTATGGAACGATGGGTAGAGTTTTTATGGTTTGGACAGTTGGTCGAAATCTTAGGTTCGACTTCCAGTGGTCGTGTCTCTGAAAAAAAACAACAACGATTTAATGTCTCGGCTACGGTTCGTGTTCCCCAATGATGTGTTCATTTGGGTACGGGAACTCCCTGGGAATTTCAATAAAAATAAAAATTTAAAAGTTTAAGAACAACTACCGTCCAGGGTTGAGCACCTTTTGAATTTCCCTCTTTCAGAACAATAACTTTCATGTGGTACGTGGTCTTCACCACTCGGAACCTTTCACGATKCAGGTAGGCAAAACCACTTTCAATCGCAAAATCTCCATTTGTGCCGAATTCAAAGTGCATGGGAAAAAACAAAACAAATACAAACCTTAATTTGCCGTAAAACTGACGATTATCCTTGAATAAGCTTTAATAAACATAATTCAAATTATTCGAATGATTTTTCTGTTTTAGCGAGAAAAAAGCGAAATCTCATGATATTACCCATAATGCACCCGGCACAATGACATACCATATGTTAGCGGTCCATTTTTTTTGTAATTGACTGTATGTACAGATGCTATATTTACATGCGATTATCTTCGTGGTTTCAGATAAGACCTAATTATGCCCAGAAATGGATTATTGGATCGATCTTAAATGTTCAGCTGAAGGGAAATGGTAAGGAGGTATTAATCGGTAGACTTGCCAGACTYGCAGTAATGTTTTGTCCTTATTGCTTGTTAAACTTATTTCGATGAAGCTCTGATGAAGTTTGTCGTCAGTAGTCTGTTGCATCACGATCATATTGTTGTTGTTGCTGTTGCTGTTGTTGCTGCTGCTGATGTTATTGTTGTTGTTGCTGTTGTCGTTGTTCTTACTGTCGTTGTTGTTGTTGCTGTTGTCTTTGTTGTTCCTGTTGCTGCCGCTGATATTGTTGTTGATGTTTTCACTTTTCATATCACTGAGTCTAATATGGTGGGTACACCTAACTTGTTCCACTATTTACATAAGATTCTTTCTCCTGAAGATCTCAACGCCATGCACTCCCATCCTGCCAATCGTAAATACCAGACTCCCCTTCAAAAAGAAATTTAAATCTCTTTGAAAGCAACCCTTATTTATAAGATAATTCCATTTAGATCCCAACAAAACCAGCCTAGTAGTGAAAACATTGCGAGAAGAACACAAGGCGGATAAAGTGAACGATTGGTTTAATTTTGTGATGTCTTGGAAGCCTCCATCTTTCCAATACAAAACTATTGATTACTACCAAGTATCGTACAGCCTGTCTGGTTATCCATACCA